TAAAGTTATTAAACTCTTAAATCTTCAGTAATTTTATAAACTATAGCCTGTGTGTGAATGTTTACATTTGCTTACCATCGACACTAATTAGTTTTAGCAAGTTACATAAAAAGACAGAGCCTCAAACACTGCAGTGCCCTGAATTTACTTTCATTTATTACCCCTAATTTGTCCATAGTAAACGCCACTGTTGCATCTAAAATAGCTACTTATTGGAAATAGAAGTTCTTTTTCTTATACATTTACAGCAGCTTATTTTTTATAAACCTCATTAGAGAATGTTGCAGTTACTGTAAGGTACATAACAGAGCATTCCATAGTGGCAGGACTGCAATGTATTTTTTAGCTTGACTTTGAGGAGTTTGTATAACTTACACAGAAAAATTAATACTCATCTCGCAACTTGGCTTGTACCACATTCCCTACTCACGTGTTCAAATGGCTGCAGAAAGCACGGTTATTTCACATCAGCTGTTTTTTATGATTTCTTCATTCTTACTCTGGACAATTGAAAGGTGAAAGAGGAAGAAGCATCTGAAAACAAGAAAATAAGCAGAATTAAAAATATTTATCTAATGAGAATGAGTAAATGACACAGTACATCCTTATTTTCCTTGTGAAGATGCCCACATAGGGAAGAAAATTACTTGTTCAACTTAGAAAACAGTGAACAGTTTAGGGCAAGCAGATAGATAACATCAGAGTACAGAAAACAAAAATCATTTAGCAGCTCTTTTATGTGAAAAAATTAAGGGAGATGCTCCCATTGAGTCATGAGATTAAGACTGGACCCTCCTCCTTTTTAAACTCCCAAAGGAGCTTGGGTGTGACTGGATCTAGTCTTAGTCTCAGACTTTTGACAATGATTTTTGTCTAAAGGATTACAAGCATACCAGTTCAGCACAGAGGGAATTTGTACACACCCTTCATCTAATAGCAGTTTGCAGGTTTAAGGTGGATCTTACAGAGTCAACAGAAGTTTGCACAATTGCTATAACAATCTATACACACATACACAAAGAAATACATAGAAAAATTCCCCACAATTAAAGTGAAAGAGATCACACATTGTATGTCAGCATTTCTCAGCAGGTGAGGATCAAGTCCTGAGAAGTGGCAGACTTCAGCCCAGGTTCTGTTTTGGTGACAGTCCCAATGGTCCCACGATTATCACAACCTTGAGAGTCTGCAAGACCCTAGGCAATACCCACTGTGGCTCAGGAGAGCTCCAGGGGCCTCACTTTGGACCACTATTTATAGGGTATAATGGATGCAAAAGTTGAATATAATTGTGTGAATTAAAAAAAAAAAGTCAATTTAAGTAAAGGAGTTCTGACAATATACATGTATGTATTCAATGAATTCTGACATTTGGTCCTTTCAAAGCTTATTGATTCATGATAACTGCAGATAGTATAAAAGTCTTTGAAATAGGAATAGGAGTTCTGTTTTCAAACTCCTGAGAACACATACTGGTCTCTTCTGGCCACTGCTTAGACTGCTTCATAGCTACCAGCTTCCAGAAATTGAACATATTCTCTCTTCAGAGATAGGCAAGTTCTCACATTAGGAGGGGGATAGCGTACATTTCAAATTTCTCTTTCACCTGAGATGGAAAAGATAATGAATGTAGATCCACAGCTAGCAGCCAGCTGCTTGTTTTGGTGACAAAGTCTAACCCTTATTTTTCTACTGAATTTTGCCTGAATTTCTTAAAAGTTCTAGCTTTGACTATGCCCCCGTATCTCACATCTCTGTTCTCTCCAATGCACATGCTCTGACAACTTAACCATACACTTAAGGCTCAACAGATCTATAAATTGAACAAAAGGTAGGGCAGGGGAAATTGACTTTGCTAACTGCAGAGATTTCTTTTTTTGAATTAATCAAGTCCTGTGAACTTTGCAAAACCAATGCAAGTTGGTGGAAAGGCTCATCTACACAGTGGGAAAGCGAGAACACCTGCATATGGTCCTCAGGTATTTTGCAAAAAAAGTGAGTCCTCCTTACTTTTACATTATGACTGTATAGGATTGTCCCTGCAAGCACCACTAAATTGGAATGGACACTGCACAGACCACAAACACCTTCCCAGTCAGTTCTTATGGAGTTAAATGGAATGAAATGAAAAATTAAAAAAAAATAAAATTGGAGGGATGTGGAAGAAAACAACGGAGAATCAAATAGAAAACAATAGACTATGATAGAAAATAACAGATTACAATAGAAAAGACTAAAAAAGTATATTAGAGAAAATAATACAATATAAAACACTAAAATGCAATAGCAAATACTAGAAAATAGTATGGCAAAGAGTAGCATATAATACATACAATAGAAAGTAGAAAACACTAGAAAATAGTACAGCAAATAGTATAGCAAATAATCGAATGCAATAGCAAACAACTAAATACAATAGAATACTATGGAATACAATAGGATGCAACAGAATGCAATAGAAAATTCTGGAAAATAGTATAGAAACAATAGCAAACAGAATACAACTGAATCCAATAGAAAATAGTATAGCAAACAGTAGACTGCAACAACAGCAAACAACAGTAGACTGCAACAACAGCAAACAGTAGACAATAGAAAATACTAGAAAATAGTATAGGAAAGAACAGGAAGTAAAATTCAATAGAATACAACACAGTTCAATAGAATGCAACAGAAAATAGAAAAGCTTAGAAAACAGTATAGCAAGCAATAGCAAAGAAGGGAACACAAAAGAAAATAGCATAGCCAAGAATAGAATACAACAGCAAAGAATAGCAAATAACAGAATATAATAGAAAATACTAGAAAATGGTATAGCAAACAAGAGCAAGGGATAGCAAACAAAAGAACACAAAATTAAAAGAGTAGAAAAGAAATTTAAAAATAATTGTAGAATAAAAAAGAATACCAAGGAACACCAAAGAAAAATTAAAAGAGTAGAAACAGGTAGAATAGAATAGAAAAAAATATATAACAGAATAGAAAAGAAATTAAGACATTAAAAAGAATAGAAAATAAAATATTTTGATCTTTCATCCAATAACAGTTTCAGCTTTCAGTTACAAGAATAGCTTCTTCTTAGCTGAAGAACAGTAAAAACATTTCATTATTCTTCTCTTTTGCTATTAGGTGACTGCTGCATAAAAAGAATCCTTGTTTTGCAGGCAAGCCCGTACTAGCTATGTCTCTCTAACATACAATTTGCTACTGTCTTTTATTCTTTAGATTGTGAGAAACAGTCCCTCAAGTAAAGCCTCCTCCAGATTCAAGGATTTTACTTTAAACTGCCAGCAGAGAGATATGATGAATATGAAAAGCTCTTAAAGCAGTTTCAGTAGAAAGAATTGCTATCATAAGATAGAAAATTAGATAAGTTGATGTTCAGAACATGAAATGATATGTTAACCTAGGATTACACAATCATTTTCAGAATGTACCATAGTCACAGAGCTGATAAAAGACAGTTTGTTTGGCTGACTGCAGGGACAGATTTTTTTTCAGTAGTAGGTATTTGTGTCTTCTTTTTATATCAAATTATTGTTTTTTCAAGGCTGCTACCGAGTTTTGCCATTCTGAACGGTAAACAGGAGACATTTCTGTACTCAGTACGTTCAGTTTATCCTATGCACTCTGTTTCCCTGTGATTTAGATGTTGCAAATCCCTGGTTCTCCTGTTCAGCTTCGCCATTAAAGCTTTTTAATCAGAACAAAAGATTAATGACTTAAAGTTACAGTATGCTGAACTCAAACTTCATAGCCAAAGATGGCTACACATAGAATCAAGAGCATCATTCATAAAAAAAAAAGGTCCACTACCAAAAAAAAAAACACCAAACCCACTAAAACCCAACACAAACACACACAGAAACCGAACTCTTCGGGTTGAATTCCATGTATTTTGTCACAATCTGAAAAGGTGAAATTTCACATTTCAAGGAACAAGAATAATGTTCTGGAAGCCCCAGTCCCTACACTCTTTGATTTACTTTACATCATCAGAAAGCCACTGAGAATACATTACAAATAAACATATCCTATATATCTTATCAGAGTACTAGCCCAGATAAGCTGCCTTTTCAATTTTAGGTATCTAAAATCTCCAAACACATACTTGCAATAAGATGGGTTGTACACGCAAACACAGTCTGACAAAACCACCAATGTTTGCATTTCTAGATGCAACCACACCTAATAACAACAAAGTTTCAGGTTAAAGGTTTTTTTTTTATTTTCCTGAGGCACTTTACATAGACATTTGGAATTGCCAGGTACTTTTGTGGCAAAATCACTTATGAGAATCTGTAACTGATTCCCACTTATATGTGAAATCTATGTCAGAAGCTTCTGTTTCTGACAGAAAATACCACTCACATTCTTTCACTGTCTGTTCCTCTTGATGTATTAGAAGGCTAAGTGTGCTAACTTATTAATTACTATTTCAGGTCAAACCAGTAATAATTCAGTGGGTGAGATATCTATACAGGTGGATATCTCTACACATCCTGGAACTGGTGAACATAAAGTTACTGTAAAAGGTAAGTTTAAAATAGTTAAATTAAAAAAGAAAGCAGCAACAAAGTCCAGAACTCCCAAGCACTATGCCCTAAGTAAAACACACCAATAATGAAACAACAAAAGTTACGTGTTGCAATACTTGTAAAGCTGTAAGTATGCTTCGGGTGATTAGGCTTATACTTATTTCTTGCTCAACAACAGCAGAAGTTTTTATTATCCAGGTAAATACTGTCCAAGCTTCTCTGCATAGACAATTAAAATCTATTATACAATGTTATGAAGTTAGCGCTTCTGAATTGCTTGAATGCAAGTTAATTTTCAAAAAGCTCTAGCAAAGCTGAGTGGTGAATGATTGCACCAAGATTTTAAAAGTTCCATTTTTAACCACATGCCTTTATTCTGCACAACTGCAATTCCAGATGAAATCTGGCATTGAGATCAGAATAAGCTCATTTTTTTAATTACAATAACAGTAGCAGAAAAAAAACTTTTTCATATAAAGTGCCTGTAAAATACATGTTAATATTTGCTACTGTTGTAACTGCGAATAGTCAGACATCTTACCTGGCAGAGAACAAGCAAAGCTTCTCTGAGGCTTGCCAGGTATTCATACCCTATAGGAAAGCTCTCCAATCACCTTTCATTACCTATACAAAGTCATGCTGGATAAGTAATTTGAGCTTTTCCAATGGAATTTTATTCAACTTCATTTCTTTTATTTCTTTACAGTTGTAGCAATTAATAATCTGAACTGGCAAACAACAGCTATGTTCCGGCCATTTGTGGAAGTTTGCATATTGGGTCCTAACCTAAGTGACAAGAAAAGAAAACATGGAACCAAGACAAAGAGCAACACTTGGTCTCCAAAATACAACGAAACTTTCCAATTGTAAGTGGTTTTTATCTGTTAACTGCATATTTTTTTGCAAGTTTTCTTAGAATTTCTTCCCTTGAAACCAGCAAGAAGATAGAAGACATCCTAAGGCCATTAAACACATCAGAGTCCATAGATATAGACACAACATCAATATTAGTTAGTAATTTGTACCTTTGGTTTATATGAAGATGAGTTACAACCACTAACTTTTTCAACTTACAGAAACTGGTTAAAATGTACAATTCATTTTGATTCAAAGATGTGGTTATGATAGCTGTAGAACATTTTAGGTATGTTCTAGAGAAATCAACAGTGTTAATTTCAGATATTGAGGGAATGAAGAATGCTCTATTTCTGTTCAGGTCAGGGGAAATTGAGAATGCATCATCAGTAGCATCTGCAAGGTTAACTGTTTATAAGGTTTAACACTAAATTATATTCTGTTGCAACAAAAAAACTGGAGCTACAAAAGTTAAACTGCCACTATCGATCACTTCAATTCTTACAAGCTTTTTAGAGTAGGTTCATTTCTTAGGAGAATTAAACTGAACTCCTTGTTCTAAGTTCATATTTTTAATCCCTGCAGCATTCTAAGTAACGAAGATAAGCCAGGAGCCTATGAACTTCACCTATCAGTGAAAGATTACTGCTTTGCTAGGGAAGATCGCATTATAGGAATGACAGTTATTCAGCTGCAAAAGGTAGCAGAGAAAGGTAGCTGTGCATCTTGGTACCCTTTGTTGAGAAACATCACTGTAGATGAAACTGGGTTAACAATTCTTAGAATCCTTTCTCAGAGGACCAATGATGAAGTTGCTAAGGAATTTGTAAGACTTAAATCAGAAACAAGATCTCCTGAAGAAACAGCCTAAAATACCCAAGTAATGCAAGATTGTCACCGCCAAGAGCATAGATACAATGCTGTTGTCAGAATAGTGCATGCATGAGCAATTCTGTGGGAATGTTTAACTATGTTTTCAGTGTTTGCCAGTACTTATGTACTATATTTGCAAGATGTATCAAAGAGCTGTATGTCTTTTATACATATTTTGGTCTTTGGTAAAGTAATTGTTCCAATGAAGTGCCAAAACTAAGATTAAGGGTAAAACATTTCATCATATGTTTTTAAATGTTGATTTCACCTCATGACAACTCCTTTATTTTTTAAACATTTATTAATTAATAAATAATTAGCTTTTTTAATTGATTAATGGGTTGTTAAACTACTGTGTTGCTTATTCTAAATTAAGTTACCTCCCTTACTATTGTTTAAAATAGATGTACCTTTCTTCAGACCATCATTTTATGCAAGCCTCATTTTAAGTCTCTTACTGATAACTTTTTCTATCAATCAATCATTACTACAGATGCAGTTACTTATAGAAAGTGTTTGTAATTTTATAATTACCAATATAAAGTAATGACTTTTGCATAAAAACTGAAAAAGGATGGAAATATTTTATGCTAATCTTTTTCCAACCTTTCATAAATATCACTGTGAAGAAATGCTGTTAAAACAAGTTCTCAAGAAGCTGTGCTTATCAGAGTTTGTTACTGATGTTTGATATCTTGAGATAACTTTGTTCTTTAAAACTGCCAAGGTATTATCATATTTGTATTAAAAGAGTAAGTCAGTATCTGTAGAGAAAGACTGCTGTACAGTACATGTGCTTTTAAAAAATCATTTTTTAAATGATTTGGTACTGTACAAGGGTTAGTAGTCTGGAATATGCAATGCTGGTTTGTGGTTTGTTTCTAGAAATTGTTTATGAAAAGAAAAGATGCTGTTAGCATTTTCACTCAGAGTTAGTGACGTTGCTGTATATACTTAGCTGCAACATCAGGTAAGTGCTTTTCTTTTTTTTTTAGACAGGTTAAACGGTTTGTACTTACGCAGCATTACTCTGTATTGCACTAAAGCAACCTCCGTGTCCTGTAAATACATTCAGTGAGAAATTGTAAAATAAAGTATGAAGAAACTGCTTTCTAGTTTTGTCATTCGATATTACTGTGTACCTGTCAATTTTGTGTGTGTGAGGGCCATGCAGTGGAGTTACAATAGAGCTTTATAGTGTATCAAAGAACAGTTTTCAGTGTCTAGCATTTAGCTCTTTTGTAAGAGTAAGATTTAATATGTCTGTCCTAAAAAACTGTGATAAATGGGGTAGGTATATATACAATGTTTCTAATAATACAAATTCATATTTGCCATTGGCTTTGGTTACAAGTGTTTCTAGTAACACAGGTTGGAGTTTTCAGCTTTGCTTGAGGGCATCAGGGTTGGGAGGAGGGTAGGGAACAACAACAAAAGAAACAAGAGGAAGGGAACACATACAGCTACTATATTGATGCCAGTCTTTCAAAAATAACAGTACGTGATTCCACATAGATAAACCAGCTTCTTTCTGGGGTATCCTTTTGTAAGATATTAGCTGAGATGTCTTTCAACAGCCTCAGTACTCTTGCTTGAATAGTAAAAGTTAATTACATTGGCCATAAGTATATTTAGACATTTGGGGAAGATCTGCACAGCCCTTAGAGAGTGGGTTCACAATGATTCACTAGGATCATAGCAGGATGGATGGGACCCAAGTCATCTTATTATTGTATATCCTGCTGATAGTTTTGCATTGCAAAATACGTTATGGCAGAGAGAGATTTTGATGGCTACATTTTTCTAACTCATTAATTTCACTTAACTCATTTAACTCATTAACTTCAGAAAACCATTTCTCCCTGTGAAAAGTTAAAATATTAAGTCTCAGGGAATTAAATACATAATTACAAGAAAAAGCAAAAATTAGCAGACATTCTGAAATCTAAATCAACTTGCCTAGAATAATTTTATTTTGTCTGATCTCAAATTCAAATGCCACATGCATGAAGAACACAGCGCTTGAACCGGACTTTAGCCTTTCCATATGGGACTCTGAACTCAAGAACCTGCTGAAACACCAATGGAAACATCTATAAGACAGACAATCCCTTTTGGGGTGTTAAATTTGCATCCAAACCAACAGAGGCATTGGGCCATCACCAAGAGACTCAACAGCTGTCAGCAACAAACTATGAAAATATTCTTCTAATTATTTTCTCCCTGTTGGCTGTCATCTGTAATCTTTCGCAGCCTCCCTCAGGCTCGCTCTCCTCACATCACCTATGCGCCATCACCGAACCATCCCCCAAGACTTGTTTTACTGGACTGCAAATTACTGTGAAAAGTTTGTCCGCACCCTGGAAGAATCAAGAGATCCTTTATACGGAATTCAAGAAATGCATGTCCATGTGTGAAGACACCATCTGGCTTAGTAATCACTCCAGCTATATTCCCCATACACATGTTCTAGCATATCCATAACTACTATTTTCTTTGTGCTTCTTCATGGGTATTTTGATTTAAAACGAGATCCTTTACACAAACTTACCTAATACAAGTATCCTACACTTAAAAGGAAACATACGATTCCCCTATGAATTAAAGAACCAATTTACACAACTTATTTGCATCAGTTAATAGAATTGTTGGCCACTATAAATCTCATGCTTAAAAGAGAAGGTGAATTGATTTATTTTACTATCATTTCCAGAAGAGAACACACCAGCAGGCAGGAATCTGTTCTCAAGTGAAGGTAATGGGAGATTTGTCCAATGGCTGCACTTCAGTTATTTCATTCAAGCTTAGCAATTTAGCTTGAGTTACTGTAACCACTCAGGATATGGTTTTCTGGTTCACAGGTTCAATGGAACTTTGAAAGTCATTACAAGTTAAGATGGACTTAATCAGAAATACATGTCAGAAGGAAGTTAAACTCCTAAGTGCTGGATTTGATTAGGTGAACACCTTACACCTTGTAAAGGCTGTTTGCAGCACTAGTAGAGGTTTAAATATGAGAAGGGAATTAAGGTGCAAATGCCTACCCTATAATCACAGAATAACTTTGGTTGGAGGGGATCTCTGGAGACCACCTGGACCACCTCAGTATGGACCAATGAAAACAGGCTGTTAACACAGGAAACTGCAATACCAGATGTACCTTCCAGTTTTGCACCTTAAGATACATGCAATTAGAACAATAGACTAAGAGAAGTCTAAGAAATAGCTCTATCATAGCTGTGACATACAGAAAACAGTACATATAAACAGTAGCCATGACTAGGCAGCTAACTTGAAGTTGAGTGGGCCTCTAACAAAATTAGCATCATTATCTTTTAATAGTTATAATGACAAAATGTGTACAGGGCCTCTGTATAAAGATCTTTCATTATGAAAACAAGTTGTAATGAAACTAGAACGTTGAGTTTGTGGTTTTAATCATTACAGTTAATGCGAATTAAGAATATAATTATTGTTTGGTTTTAATGTCTCCACTAATTCACAGCTGTCCAAAGGCAGCTGTAAATGGCACATCTAATATTTAACACTTACTACTTTATGGTAAGCAAGAGACTGCCCAACATTTGCTTGTGGAGACCTTCCATCCTTTCTGCATGCCCTTTGCCCTCTGTGTTTAAATGCATGTGGATTTGTAACCAGAAAGTTACTGCATTAATGTGCTTAAAACAAAAACTTATGTCCAAGTTCTTTCTTATCCACATTAAGAAAGAACTGTTACGTACAAAATGTGCACAAAAGAGAATAAAATCTGGATATTTTAAACTGTAGATTTTGGTAGAAGATAATCCAGCATATTTAAAACAAGAAAAGTAGTATTTTCCCTGCGCAAGAGAAATCTGGCTTGAACATTTGGACTCAACAAGTCTGTCAGCCATCTATATACACTTTACATACAGTACAACTCCATATGAAAAATTATCCTGCCAGTTAGTGTGGAAGACATGCCAACTAATGTCAAATAGGAAAGAGTATCTTCAGCTCCAAGAGACTGTCAACAGCATTAATTGAGAAGCTTATAAAACAGAAATAATAAAACAATTTTTTTATTGTTTTCTTTATTTTATTATTTTTCATGGGCACTCTGATGCTAGTGACTACAGAAATCAAATTTGTAGGCAAGTATTGAAAAGAGAAGAATAATTTACCGTTACTGCATTAGTCTGAATTAAATAACCATTTCTTACAAATCCCTGGCAAACTATAGAGCCGAAGAAAAACGTGGAAAATTAATAAATTAATTTCGGCTAGCAAACATAAAATTAATTTAAATGGATTCAGTGCTATTTGTAAAACACAGCTGGGCAAGTGTTGGAAAGAACTCCATTATTTACACATGCTTATTTTGATGGTATGTTTGTACCATTTCTGTTTGCCTTGAGGCATCACATTTAGGTGATTGACTAGTCCTATCAAAAATTCATAGAAATGAATTTTCAGGAAACAAAATCTGAATTGTTTTAGAAATTCTAATCAAGAGATGGCAGGCAAACGTTAGACTGTGACCAGTGAGCAGAACTGGGATATTATAAGATGATGTCACTAGAGGTGTTTAATCAAAGAAAAATTAAAGCATGTATCTGGAGAATATCCATTTCTCTTTTGTCTGCTACTCTCAGCGAATGCACACGCACAGTACAGAGTATAAATCAACTTATAAATTATGAATTTACAAAACCTAATTTGAGAACAACCCGATAAAAAATGAAATAAAAATATCTTTTCAAAACAGATTCTACAGCTGAAAATGAGCTTACCTCAAACTTAAAAGACTGCAGCAATTAAAGCTGAAAGCCTTCCCTGTTAATTTAGCTAGATTAATCACTGCAAAATATGAAATAACAAGTGGGCATACTGTAAACTTTGTAGTGAAAGGCATTAAAATGTCATCAATTTTCAACTAAAACAATACAAGATGATCAGAAAAGTGAATCCAAGGAAGGAAGAGAAGTCCACTGTTTCTTTAATCTTTTCCTGTTTATTTCTGCTACAGTACTGACAGTACAGTAGTGAACTACAGTACAGTCCAAGGACCCAGTCTGCATTGACCTGGGGTCTCATATAAGTTAACACCTATTTCTCTAGTTTTCCAAACAGTATTAGGAGTTCCAGGCAACGAGCATACCCAGAAAGCACTGTGGGCCATAGGACCAGCTTACTGAGCCGTCAGTTCACAGCTCTGGTCTGTAAATTGGATGTATACTGTTGTTTGTCTGCATAAAGAATAGACAAAGCATGCTTATATTGGTAAGCTCAACTGATTTGATGGGAGATGTAACAGAGTACACTCAGGCAAAAATCAGAGATCTCTGTCTTCACTTGCCTAGATATAAAAAAGCTTGCTGACAATAACTGCTCTTGGTTCAATGCAATAGTTACTGAGGCAGCTCTAACTCCAATTCCTTTGAAGTCTAAGAGGCCCCACACATTTTGCTCGATAATGTTTACCCATTGAAGGCCGATGGCAGTTAACTGCAATGTGAGTTAAGCCTCCAGGCCTGAGGCCATGACACTAAGAAAACAAATGTCACTTACTGACTAGGAGAACCACAAAAAATGAAAAGGAATAGCAAAAATATGCACTGAGCAGTAGAACACTAATGGAAAACTACACTGCAGTGACTATGCTCCCGTCTCCCAGACTTCCCTGAGAAGTAGGGCAACTAAGATGATTAAGGGAGTGGAGCATCTCCCTTATGAGGAAAGACTGAGGGAGCTGGGTCTCTATAGTTTGGAGAAGAGGAGATTAAGGGGTGACCTTATTAGTGTATATAAATATATAAAGGGGGAGTGTCACGAGGATGGAGCCAGGCTCTTCTCAGTGGCAAACAATGAAAGGACAAGGGGTAATGGGTACAAATTGGAGCACAAGAGGTTCCACTTAAACCTGAGAAGAAACTTCTTCTCAGTGAGGGTGACGGAACACTGGAACAGGCTGCCCAGGGAGGTTGTGGAATCTCCTTCTTTGGAGACATTCAAAACCCGCCTGGACACGTTCCTGTGTAACCTTATCTAGGTGTTCCCGCTCCGGCAGGGGGATTGGACTAGATGATCTTTTGAGGTCCCTTCCAATCTCTAACATACTGCGATACTGTGATACTGTGAAGTACACAAAAAATGCCTGCTAGATTTTAGTTTACAACACATGGCAGTTGTTCACAGAAATACTGTCTGTAAAAACCACACACAGTCTGTATGCATAACACAGCAGTTGTGCATATAAACTACTGCATACAAGTGAAACAGCTTCACTATTATGTTTTAAAAGTCTCAGTGACCAAAATGTTAACACTGGAAAGATACACAAGAATAGAAACAGAAATGCAAACCACAAGCTTGAATGTGACACGGGATGGGTGCTTTGAATGAACTACTGTGGTCATTATTCTTGGGGTAGAATAAATGACCCTGGAAGTCAAGGGTATAGTTGCTGAGAGGAATCTCAGCAGGGGTGGCAGGAAGATTGCATTATAGGTGGAGGGTGAAATAGCATGAGCAATGGGAGATAATTTTACAGAGATAAGGAAGGGAAACATAATGAGTTTCCTAACATAAACAGTGAAGTATCTTTTCACATAGTCACCTTCACCATATTTTTTCAACTGTATGGGGAGACACTGAGACAAAAAGATGGAGAGTTAAAAAAGAATGGGATAGGCATGGAACAGAGCTGATAGACAGTTGGCCTCAGATTGCATTGCTTAACTCATAGCAGAACCAGAAAGCACTAGGTGCAACTTTCATATAACAGACACAAAAAGATAGATCTGTCTCTGTATTTTTGTCACATGCTAGTCCAGTCCAAGAGTTACTTCTTTTGACTGTGATTTCGGTGGAGCAACAAGACAGAAGCAACAAGACCCAAGAGGGTCTCCCCACTCCTTTGTACTAAGTAGAATCTGAATACATGAGTTTGCATTCCACTACCCTCTATTTCAGAAAGATAAACATATTCCCAGCCAGAAGCCATCACAAACAAGTTCAAGCCAAAGAGTCTGCAGAGATATTTCCGTGAATAATAGGTATCTGTCGTGGTTTAACCTCAGCCAGCAACCAAGAAACACACAGCTGCTCACTCACGGCCCCCTCTATCCTCCCCCCATTCCCAGCCATCCAGTGGTTGCTTCCACCATGGTAAGCACATGGCGCTTGCCTTGATACCATCAATCTGCCAGGCCTCCCCATATTTGTACTTCAGCCATGGTCCTCCATACCAAAGAGGCTTTAACTGCTTGGCTTGCAGCACGTTTCACAGTCATGAATAACCTGGGCTATAGTGTCCATTGTTAAGTCCACCCCTTGGTCAGGAACCCATCTGCATGTTGCATTTCTGCCCTGATGGCCTGAAGTCATCATGGACTGGCCAGAGGACAAAGTACTTTATCTGTATCCTGACTCATGGGTGGTGGCAAATGCCCTGTGGGGGTGGTTGCAGAAATGGAAGCAGAGCCACTGGCAAGGCAGAGGTAAACCCATCTGGGCTGCTGCACTGTGCAAGATATCGCTGCTCGGGTGCAGAACCTGGTGGTGGAAGTACATGAAGGTACGCCATCCTACAACACACATGAAGCAAATATGAAGAGCTGGAGCCCTTGTGTGCTGCAGACCTTGTCTATGTAACTGATGGCACTTACACAACCAGCCTCTGGGGAAAATCTCTTGGTCCTCCTCTTGTCTAACCCTAGACAAGACCCAAACCCGACTCTGCTTAACTTTTGAGATCAGAAAAAATGGTCGTGGGTAAAACACACTCTGTGTGTGTGCCAACATGGTGATTCCCATCACAATCAGCAGGCAGGTCCCAAGGGTACCTAAAGGCCATTCAAAACCTTCAGAACTCTCAAATGATGCTGTAAATGGTCTGGTGGAGGGGGCTGGGAACCTAAGAGAATGTCTCCTTCATAGGTTGACCACCTGAGGAGGGGAAAAAAATGGTGTGTAATTGCTAAACACTTCTATTATATACCTCCCAAAGTATAGAGGTGGTGACCACACTAGGAATGCAAGCCAGGTCAGTTTCATGATCAAGAATGTAAGTCCCACAGGTTGAGATAAGAACAGCCCAGTAACTAAGGTGTAACACAAACCACTACTGCTACCACCAGTAATAATAATGATAAGGGAAATAACAAGGGAAGAGAATACAACCGCTCACCATAAACCGATACCCAGCCCGACCCAAGCAGTGATCTAGCCCTTCTGGGTAACAGCCCCTAGTTTATATAGTGGGCATGACATGCTGTGGTATGGAATATCTCTTTGGTTAGTTTGGGTCAGGTGTCCTGTCCCTGCTTCCTCCCAGCTCCCCCACCACCCTGGCAGAGCTTGAGGCTCATAAAGTCCTTGGTCAGAGTAAACATTGCTGAGCAGCAACTAAAACCATCGGTGTTACCAGCGCTGTTCCCAGGCTGAAAGTCAAAACCACAGCACTGCACCAGCTACTAAGGAGAAAAAAAGGAGCACTGCTGAACCCAGGACAGTATCCAACACACAATAGCAGTAACTAGGTAGAATATTCTGTTGAGAAACAGTAGCAATTCGCATCTAGCAATGCATCAGTGTATCAACATGCTAATTTGTACCTAGCTGAAAGTAGTAAATAAATATACCTTTAAAATGCTATCCTCTTCTATGTAATTTGTGAAGAACTCATGTGCCAGGCTGAGCTTTCTTGGCACAGTGACCATTATGAAATTAGGTCAAGTTCCTCACGCTTCCCTACTCAGTTTGACATTGGAGACAAAACATTGCAGGAGCCACTGAAGTGAGCTGGAGTCAGTAGCAGCAGTGAACTTAACTCCTGTCAAATACACTCTATAATGTTCAATAGCCCATATAATTGCACATCTCTCTACTGCAGAGAATTTCATTTCTGATAAGGGAGAAATTTCACAGCAGAAAAAACCAGAAACTAGGAATACTGTTTTAACATTTGCTCACTTTATATTTATTAGATGGAAACAATGAAGATTGTAACTCTGAATATATATCCTTCACTGTCACACAGACAGTAAACAAAGCTTATATACAAAAGTATATTAATTGAATCTCTCTTCCATTTACAAGTTGCTTATAAGCAGCTTGCAATTTTGGCAAATGCCATTATTTAGGCTGGCTGACTAAATCTGTGAGAAGGGGTTAAAACCTTGTTAAATGCTCCAAGTCAGCTATTGAAGCTAGTGCCAACTCAAGAGTCCTATCTGGCTGAATGCAATGCCTAGAATCAGCTTATTGAAACACAAAACTGGTTTAAAATCCAATGCATTGACTAGAATACTTAAGGAATAACATCTTTATGCAGAAAGCAAAGTGAACACCTTAGAAAACATAACTTGCCGAACACAAGAGGAAAGCTTGGAACATCATTATTTACAGTAGAAGCTTGCATTGGCATGACAGTATCTAACAATATCACCAGAAACCAAAACAAGATACATTGCAACAGAACAGAGAAGGAAGGGCAGAACCAGAAGAGAAGCACCTTTCTGTGCAACCAGACTGTGCCATTCTAAATCAGATCTGTCAGCTAGAGAGTACTTTGAGACTTTTACACTGTAAACTGTTTAGACAGCTGAGTGACAAAGGATAATTAGCAGATCTCTATAAACCAAGGTGACTGTGGTAAGCCATAAGTAAAAACAAAACAAAACAAAACAAAAAAAACAACAAAAACCCTCCTCAGACTGTACTGTGAAGGAGGAATCAAGTTCTAGATATATTTTGAGATTCCATGATAAGAACAATATTCGATTTATAGCAAGTACCAAGTATTTCAGTATTTCCTTGGTTAATATATGGGAGGGAAGTGGTACAAGAGGCTTTCC